AGTAGTAGTAGTAGTAGCAGTAGTGGCTGTATCAGTAGTACCTGCTATATCAGTAGTAGCAATAATAAAAGTAACAGTAGTAGTAGTAGTAGTATTATTAGTAGTAGTAGAATGAGTAGTAGTACCTATAAATACCCATCTACTTGAAGGCTTTTAGTATCAACTACAAATGAAAACTTGTGTTTCTCAATTAGTATCTCTTATGTCTTCCTCTCATATCTCAACAAATTATTATATTCCATTAGCCTATCTTTTCATTTTTTTAATGAAAATAAAAATCAAGGTTAATTAATCATTTTACCATTTGTAGGTTGATTTGTACATTCAAATTCTTCTTCAATTGAATTAATATGCCAACAAATTTTTTTTCCTCATTTAAATTAATTGATTAATTAAAGTAAGAAAATTTTAAAAAAAATGCTAGATAGTTAATAATATTGTAAAATAAACTAGATTTTTTTGTGATGTTACATATAATCCAGTAGTAATAGCAGCAGTAGTAGCAGCAGTAGCAATAACAATATTAGCACTAGTAAAAGTAACAGTGGTAGTATTATTAATAGTAGTAGTAGCATTAATAGTAGTAGTAGTAACAGTGGCAGTAACAGTAGTAGCAGCAGCAGTAGTAGTAGCAGTAACAATATTAGCAATAGTAGTAGTAGTAGTAGTAGTAGTAGTAGCAGCAGTAATAACAATGGTGGTTGTAGTAGTAGTAACTACAATAGAAATAACAGTAGTAGCAGTAGCAGTAGTATTAGTAGTAGTAGTAGTAGCATTAGTAGTAGTAGTAGTAGTACCTATAAATACTCGTATACTTAAAAGCTTTTAACATCAACGACAAATCAAAACTTGAGTTTCTCAATTAGTCTCTGTTATTTCTTCCTTTAATATTTTAACAAATATTATATTCAGCTAGTCTATCTTTTTATTTTTTTCTAACAAAAATAAATCAAACTTAATTGATCATTTTGTCATTTGTAGGTTGATTTGTACATTCAAATTCTCTTCAATTGAATTAATATGGCAACAAAACGTTTTTTTCTTTATTTGAATTAATTAATTAATTCAAGTAAGGAAATCTGAAAAAAAAATGCTAGATAGTTAATAATATTATTAAAATAAACTTGATTTTTTGTGTTATTACATATAATACAGTAGTAATAGCAGTAGTAGTAATAGTAATAGTTGTAGCGGTATTAGTAGTAGTAGTAGTAGCAGTGGTAGTAACAGTAGTAACAGTAGTAAAAATAGTAGCAGTAGCAGTAATAGCGGTTTTAGCAGTAGTAGCAAAAGTATCAGCAATAGATGTAACAATAGTAGTAAAATTAACAAAAATATTAGTAATAGGAGTAGCGTTATTAGTAGTAGTAGTATTAATAGTAATAGTTGTTGTTGTACATATAAAAATCCATGTACTTGAAAGCTTTTAGCATCAGCCACAAATTAAAACTTGAGTTGCTCAATTCGTCTCTCTTACTTATTCCTGTCATATTTTAACAAATTATTGTATTCAACTAGCCTATCTCTTCATTTTTTTTAACAAAAACAAATCAAACCTAATTGTTTATTTTGTCATTTGTAGGTTGATTTATACATTCAAATTCTTTTTCAATTGAATTAATATGGATATGAAACTTTTTTTTCTCATTTAAATTAATTAATTAATTTCAAGTAAAGAAATCTGAAAAAAAAAATTCTAGATAGTTAATAAACAGCAAGATCAGAATGAGTAACTATGTATGGCTGTGGCATAACAGAATTAAGGGCCGAAGCATCAGCTAACGCTATTGTACAAGATGTACCAGTGTTGATATGTTTATAACTGTTTGCTTTAGCAGTTGGAATTTGGTGAATGACTGTTGACGCTTCTATTTGTACTTGAGTTGCATATGGAAAATAATTTTCATAGAAAATCACATCTTTAGAAATTAAGTACTGTTTGTGCTCAAGATCAAAAAGCTTATAACCTTTTTTTCCTACAACAAATCTCATAAAGATACACTTAAATGCCCTTGGAGAAAACTTGTGCTTATGAGGTTGAGTGTTTGTTGAGTAACACAAGCATCCAATAACTTTAAGCCTGCTATAATCTGGAGGCTTATGATACAATACCTTATATAAACTCTTCCAATGTAGGATTGCAAAGGATAATCTATTGATAATGTATGTAGCATGTAATAGAGTCTCTTCCCAAAAAGTAATTGATAGTGCAGCTTGAAAAAATGTAGCTCAAGCAACTTGCAACAATTGTCTATGTTTTCATTCTACTCTCCCATTTTGTTACGGGGTGTATGGACATGTTGTATGATGTACTATACTAAGTTCAATGAAAATGCTTTGACATGTAGAAGCCAAGAACTCACTGCTGTTGTCACTTCTAACTATCTTGACCTTGACATCAAATTGTTTCATAACCATTCTGATAAATCTTCCGAGCAGAAAACCTATTTGTGCTTTACTTTGCATGAGATATGTCCAAGTGTACCTACTTTTATCCTCTACAATTATAAAAAAATAAGATGCACCAGAAGATAATAATTGATTATAAGGGCCTCATACATCCACATGTATTAATTCAAACAATATATCACTGTTACTATTACTACTCTCAAAAGGTAATCTTGTCAGTTTTGTTCTTACACATACATCACATGATTTAGTCAACAAATCTTCTTTGTTAATCCCAAAATGTAACTTTTATAGTATAAATTAAGATGGATGCCTCAACCTTTTATGCCAAGATGTTGAGGTTTCTATCACATTATTAACCACCTTACTGTTCAACAGAGAATTTAAAATAGGGATACAGGAATGAAAATCATACTGATTTAAGGTTTCTGGTTTAAAGGAAGTAAAGTCAAAGTAGTATAGATTGCTGGAAGATCTGTTACCCACTGTCTTACTAGTTTTCTGGTCCTGTAATAGGCAAAAATCAGGATAAAAGGTGAACATGATACTGGTTTTTTTAGCTAACTTATTGACAGATGATAAGTTGTGATGAAAATAAAGGATATATAACAGTCCTTTCAAAATTAATCTTTTTCAAAACTATGTCACCAAAATATTCAACCTTTAAAGCTAAACCATTTGGTAAATGAACAGAACTTGGCCTTTGAATCTTATTGAGATTGCGAAATAACGAACTAATGCCACATTCATAATTATTGGCCCCTATATCTATTATCCAACATAAATCCTTTGGAGCTATATCAAAAATTGAATCAGCAAATTCTTATGCGTAGCTAACAAAATTATGATATGAAGTAGACCACCTATCATTTCCTCATCATCAAGGGGAGTATCTACCGTATTGACCCTAGCTTTATAGCCACCTTGTCCTTTCTTTTTCTGCTTTGAACTCCTTATACCAATCTGGATAACTATGGAGCTTGAAGCATGTGTCTTTTAAATGCTCATTCTCCTTGCAATATGTACAGAACTTATCTTCCCTCTTAATTGATTCT